AACCCGTCATCTAGGTTTTAAGCCCCGCATGCATTAGGTATTTGTCCTAATGCTCTCCTTCCCCTTGCCCTCCACCCCCCGACAGACCCCAGTGTGTGATGCTCCACTCTCTGTGTCTATGTGTTCTCATTGTTCGACTCCTGCTTATGAGTGAGAACATGTGGTATTTAGTTTTCTGTTCCTGTGTTAATCTGAAGAGAATAATGGTTTCCAGCTTCATCCATGAGAAATGGCACATATTTTAAAATAAACTTTATATGGAAATTAAGAGAGAAGCAAAACAACCCTCAAGACACAATCCCATCACTTTGGGAAGCCAAGGCGGGAGGAACACTTGGGGCCAGGAGTTTGAGACCAGCCTGGGCAACATGATGAAACCCCATCTCTACTAAAAAGAAAAAAAAAGTAGTTGGGTGTGGTAGCGTGTCTGTAATACCAGCTACAGGCTGGGTGGCTGAGGCAGGAGAATCAGTTAACTCGGAGGCAGAGGTTGCAGTGAGCCGAGATTGTACCACTGCACTCTAGTCTGGGCTCAAGAAAAAATAAAAAATAAAAATTAATTAAAAGAAAAAATAGCTGGGTGTGGTGATACATATCTGTAATTCTAGCTACTCAGGAGGCTAAGGCAAGAGAATCACTCGAGCCTGGGAAGCCGGGATTGCAGTAAGCCAAGGTCGCACCACTGAACTCCAGCCTGAGCAACAGAGCAAGACCCTGTCCCAAAAAACCAACAAACAACAAAGAACCACACATACACACACACACAGTCTAGAAATGCAGTATTTACAAAGCCAATCTTTTCTACTTGAGCTTTGGAATAAACTAAGGGTTTGCCTCTTGGCCATAATACTTACTAGCAATATAGTCTGGAGAAGCTATTTAACCTCTGGGCCTCAGTTTATCTGTCTTTAAGATAGGGATAATACCAGCATCTTCCCTGCAGAGTTGTGAAAATTAAATGAGGTGTATGTACAAAGCTTGCTGCAGGCCCTGAGTCACAGTGAAGCTTCAGTTAATGTTGGGTTTGTGGAAGAAAGGGGTTTTGTGCTAAGTTTGGATTTGACTGGGCTAGAGGCATCTTATTTCAGACATCGGCGGGTGTGAAGCATTCTAACTTCTCCGTATAGAAATGATTCATTAACCCAGGACAGGTAAGCAGCTGTTATTGAACAGTGAGTTAACGATCATGGGTAGATGACTTGAGGTCAGGAGTTCAAGACCAGCCTGGCCAACATGGCAAAACCCCATCTCTACAAAAAATACAAAAATTAGCCGGGTTTGGTGGTGTGTGCCTGTAATCCCAGCTTCTCCGGAGGCTGAGGCAGGAATATCACTTGAACCCAGGAGGTGGAGGTTGCAGTGAGCCTGGGGCGACAGAGCAAGAGGCTCTGTCTCAAAAAAAAGAAAAAAAAAGACACTATTGTAAGACTGGCTACTAGGTGTCCCCGCTTTATCTGGATTATGATAACAATAGTTGAAGTTTTTCCAGCACTTCCTGTAAAGTCATGTTATTAGCCTAGTTTTACAACTTAAGTACAGCGTAAGTAACAAGGTCACAGCTTACAAAGTCTAGACTCTCTTTTGTTTCATTGAGCTATAAACTTCTATATCATAAACCTATGTCCGTCCCCATGTTGCCTGGGCCTGAGTCTGTGGGGTCCTGGCTGCTCAGCTCTGGGCTTGTGTTTCCTCCGTAGATCAAGTGGCTTGTGCAGATCCAGAGATCTGCCAGAAGGTCTGCAGCAACCCCTCAGGCTGTTCTGACATCGCGTATCCCAAACTCGTGCTGGAACTCCTGCCCACAGGTAATGTCCTCTCGCCCCTGAATCAAGTCCCCTGGAGCACCCAGAGAGGAGATGACAGGCTGGGCTCTGATCTAACGCAGGGTCAAAAAGGAAGGGCTGGGGGGAGGAACAGGCTCTAGGCTCCCCGAGAAAGGCTAAGTCCTGCAGGAAGCTCTGCCCTGCCATCCTCCCCGAGGTTCTGCCTCCTCCAGTTGAGCCCACTGGGATCGGCTGCTTTGGCAGAAAAGGACCAAGGCCCATGACCTCCCTTCCGCCCCCCCAGGGCTCCGTGGGCTGATGATGGCTGTGATGGTGGCGGCTCTCATGTCCTCCCTCACCTCCATCTTTAACAGTGCCAGCACCATCTTCACCATGGACCTCTGGAATCACCTCCGGCCTCGGGCATCTGAGAAGGAGCTCATGATTGTGGGCAGGTAAGTCCCCACTGGGTGGGGCCGGGGCAGGGGGAAGAGAGAGCTGAGCCCACCCACAGGTAAAGTCCAGGTCCAGCCAGCAACTTATCCAGGCCTAAGAGCATTAGGACTCCACGTGCAAGACATTCATTCATTCAGATGTTCAACGAGCACCTACTGTGGACCAGGCACTGGGCAGATAACCATGAGAGGGCTCAGTTCTTGCCTTCACGGAGGTAGGGAAGGAGGAGAATAAGCAAATAATTATAACTCGCTGAGTGCAGTGGCTCACACCTGTAATCCCAGCACTTTGGGAGGCTGAGAGGGGTGGATCACTTGAGGTCAGGAGTTCAAGACCAGCCTGGCCAATATAGTGAAACCCCGTCTCTACTAAAACTACAGAAACTAGCTGTGCTGGCTCACGCCTGTAATCCCAGCTACTCAGGAGGCTGAGGCAGGAGAATTGCTTGAATCTAGAGGCGATTTGTGTACTGGAGGCACGTCACTGCACTCCAGTACACAAAAAAACAAATAATTACAACCCAATGGCAGGTATGACAGGGGAGTCAGGAGACCTGGAGAGGTAGAGGAGGAACACCCAACCTGGATTGGGAGCTGAGGGATGCATAGGAGTTAGCCAGGTAAGAGGGAGAAAGGTGTTTTGGGGATTAGGGGAAAGGTTTCTGCAAAGTCCTAATGGCTAATGGGAGGAACTAAAATGACTGAAATGAATGGCACGTAAATATTATGGAAAACATATGCAAATAAACACCTTGGGGCTCAGTCACTCAGGAAGATGCACCTTGAGGCTGTCTCCACCTTGGGTTAGGAAAAACGTTCTTTGATGTGACACCGAAACACAATTCAGAAAAAAAAAAAGGCCAGGCGGATGGTTCACGCCTACAATCCCAGCACTTTAGTGGGGTGCAGGTGGGGGGATTGCTTGAGGCCAGGAGTTTGAGACCAGCCTGGGCAACATAGCAAGATCCCATCTCAACATAAAAATAAAAAAATAGCCAGGTATGCTGGCGTGTGCTTATAGTCTCAGCAATTCGGGAGGCTGAGGTGGGAGGATCGCTTGATCCCAGGAGTTCAAGGCTGTAATGAGCTGTGATCACACCACTGCACTCCAGCCTGGACAACCTTGCCTTGCCTCTAAAACAACAACAAAAAAGATACATTGAACTTCATCAAAACTTAAAACATTTCCACTTCAAAAGATACCGTCAAGAAAATGAAAGGAAATGCCAAAAATGGGGAAAAAGATTTGCAAGCTACATACCTGACAAATTAGGACTGGCAGAATATATGAAGAACTCTTAAACATAATAAGACCAACAACCAAAAGACTGCACTAGGCATGTCACCAAGGAAAATACATAAATGGCTAATAAGTGGATGGATAGATGTCCAACATCATTAGTCAGGGAAACACAAATTAGAACTACACCACTTCAGAGCCACTAGGATGGCTACCATAAAAAAGAGAGAAAAGGAAATGGAGAAACTGGAATTCTCCTACACTGCAGGTAAGAACATAAAATGCTTCAACTGTTCAAGTTGGGCAGTTTCTTTCTTTCTCTTTCTTTCCCCGCCTGCCTGCCTTTCTTCCTTCCTTCCTTCTTTCTTTCTTTTTTTTCTTTCTTTCTTTTTCTTCCCCCCCCCTCTCCTCTCTCTCTCTCTCTCTCTCTCTCTCTCTCTCTCTCTCTCTCTCTCTCTCTTTCTTTTATAGCGTCTAGTTCTTGTCACCCAGGCTGGAGTGCAATGGTGTGATCTTGGCTCACTGCAAACTCTGCCTCCCAGGTTCAAGCAATTCTCCTGCCTCAGCCTTCTGAGTAGCTGAGATTACAGGTGCCTACCACCATGCCCAGCTAATTTTTGTATTTTTAGTAGAAACGTGGTTTCACCATATTGACCAAGCTGGTCTTGAACTCCTGACTTCAAGTGATTCACCTGCCTCAGCCTCCCAAAGTGCTGGGATTACAGGTGTGAGCCACTGTGCCTGGCCAGGAAGTTTCTTAAGAAGTTAAATATAAGCTTACCATGTAACTCAGCAACTGCATTCCTAGAAATCAAAACATGTCTACACAAAGACTTGTACACAAATGTTCATAGAAACACTGTTCACACCAGGCATGGTGGCTCATGCTTGTAATCCCAGCACTTTGGGAGGCTGAGGTGGGAGGATCGTTTGAGCCCAGGAGCTTGAAATCAGCATGGGCAACATAGTGAGACCCCATCTTTATAAAAATGTTTTAAACAGGAAACTATTCATAAGAGCCGAAAAGTAGAAACAATCCAAATGTCCACTGAATGGCAAAAAACAATGGCATATCCATGACAATGGAATACTTTTCAATAATAAAAGGGAATGAAATACCAACACATCTTACAACATGGATAAACCTCGAACATTATGCTTAGTGAAAGAATCAGATGCAAAAGACCACATACCATATGATACCACTTATAGGAAATGTCCAGAAATGGCAAACCCATAGAGACAGAAAGCAGACAAGTTGCTGCTTAGGGTGAGAGCCAGAATTAACTGTGATTGGGCGCCAGGAGCTTCCTGGAGTGATGGATGTTGTGTCTAGAGTTTGGTGATGGTTGCACAGCTCTATAGATTTGCTAAAAGCCATTGGATTGCACGTGTACATTGGGTGGATTTCATGGCGTGTAAATTATACTTCAATACGTGGTTTTTTTTGTTGAGAAAAGGTCTCTCTCTGTATTACCCAGGCTGAAGTGCAGTGGTGTGATCTCAGCTCACTGCAGCCTCAAACTCCTGGGCTCAAGTGACTCTCTGGAGTAGCTGGGACCATAGGTATAATCCACCACTCCCAGACCTTCAATAAATATATTTTTTCTTTTTTTAAGATAGAGGCTGGGGGCAGTGGCTTATATCTGTAATTCCAGCACTTTAGGAGGCTGAGGCAGGAGGATCACTTGAGCCCACGAGTTCCAGATCAGCATGAGGAACAAAGTGAAACTCCATCTCCAAAAAAACAAACAAACAAACAAACAACAACAACAACAAAACGCCAGGTGCAGAGGCTCACACCTGTAATCCCAGCACTTTAGGAGGCCGAGGTGGGTGGATCACGTGAGGCCAAGAGTTCAGGACCAGCCTGAGCAACATGGTCATTTCTACAAAAAAAAAAAAAAAAAAAATTAGCTGGGCATGATGGTGCACACCTGTAGTCCCAGCTTCTTGGGAGGCTTAGGTGAGAAGATTACTTGAGCCTAGGAGGTGGAGGCTGCAGTGAGCCATGGTCGTGCCACTGCACTTCAGCCTGTGTGACAGTGAAACCATGTCTCAGTAAGAAAACAAAATTAAATTGGCCGGATATGGTGGCTCATGCCTGTAATCCCAGCACTTTGGGAGGCCAAGGCAGGCAGATCACAAGGTCAGGAGTTTGAAACCAGCATGACCAACATGGTGAAACCCCATCTCTACCAAAAACACAAAAATCAGCCGGGCATGGTGGCATGTGCCTGTATTCCCTCAGGAGGCTGAGGCAGGAAAATCACTTGAACCCAGGAGGCGGAGCTTGCTGTGAGCTGAGATCACGACACTGCACTCCAGCCTGGGCAACAGAGCAAGACTCCATCTCAAAACAAAAGAAAATAAAATTAAATTAAAATGAAAGTAATAGAGGCCAGTGTGATGACTCGCACCTGTAATCCCAACACTTTAGGAAGCCGAGGCAGGTGGTTCACCTGAGGTCAGGAGTTTGAGGCCACCCTGGCCAACATGGTGAAAACCTGTCTCTACTAAAAATAAAAAAAATTAGCTGGCATGGTGGCATGTGCCTGTAGTCCCAGCCACTTGGGAGGCTGAGGCAGGAGAATCGCTTGAACCCGGGAGGCGGAGGTTGCCGTGAGCATTGCACTCCAGCCTAGGTGACAGAGCAAGACTATCTCAGCCAGGTGCAGTGGCTCACACCTGAAATCCCAGCACTTTGGGAAGCCAAGGAGGGCGGATCATGAGGTCAAGAGTTTGAGACCAGCTGGCCAAAACGGTGAAACCCCATCTTTACTAAAAATACAAAAGTTAGCTGGGTATGCTAGCAGGCACCTGTAATCCCAGCTACTCGGAAGGCTGAGGCAGGAGAATCGTTTGAACTCGGGAGGCAGAGGCTGCAGTGAGCCAAGATCACACCATTGCACTCCATCCTGGGCAATAGGGAGAAACTCTGTCTCAGAAAAGAAAGAGAGAGAGAGAGAGAGAAAGAGAGACAGAGAGAGACAGAGAGAGAGAGAGAAGAAAATTAAAATAATAAAAATAAGCTAGGAGTGTTGGCATGTGTCTGTAGTCCCAGCTCAGGAGGTTGAGGCAGGAGGATCACTTGAGCCCAGGAGTTGGAGGCTGCAGTGAGCTATACTCTCTTCACTGCACCCCAGCCTTGGCAACAGAACAAGACCCTAGCTATTTAAGGAGAGAGAGAGAGAGAGAGAGAGAGAGAGAGAGAGAGAGAGAGAGAGAGAGAGATGTTTAGGGAAGATGATGCTAATTTGTGCCTCTCGCTGGCACCAGGGTGTTTGTGATGCTGCTGGTCCTGGTCTCCATCCTCTGGATCCCTGTGGTCCAGGCCAGCCAGGGTGGCCAGCTCTTCATCTACATCCAGTCCATCAGCTCCTACCTGCAGCCGCCCGTGGCGGTGGTCTTCATCATGGGATGTTTCTGGAAGAGGACCAATGAAAAGGTAGCTCTGGATAGCTCCCACTATGCCAGAACCAAGTGCCGCCCCTTAAGGACTGGGATAGGATGGGAGGGGAGGGCACTGAAGGATGACACAGGCTGGACTTGGGTGCTGACAGGGAGTTCCATGGTGGAAGATACAGGGAGGGTGTTTATCTGAACTTTGCAAAAAAAGCAATGAGAGGGCTGGTGCAGTAGCTCACACCTGGAGTCCCAGCACTTGGGGAGGCCAAGGTGGGCAGATCACTTGAGGTCAGGAGTTTGAGACTAGCCTGGCCAACATAGTGAAACCTCGTCTCTAGTAAAAATACAAAAATTAGCCAGGTATGGTGGTGTGTGCCTGTAATCCCAGCTGCTCCGAGGCTGAGGCAGGAGAATCAGTGGAACCCAGGAGGCAGAGGTTGCGGTGAGCCAAGACCACGCCACTGCACTCCAGCCTGGGTGACAGAGTGAGACTCTGTCTCAAAAAAAAAAAAAAAAAAAAAAAAACAGAGAGGTTCTCAGCCAGGCACAGTGGCTCACGCCTGTAATCCCAGCACTTTGGGAGGCCAAGGCGGGCAGAATACGAGGTCAGGAGTTCAAGACCAGCCTGACCAATATGGTGAAACCCCATTTCTACTAAAAATACAAAAATTAGCCGGGTGTGGTGGAGTGTGCCTGTAATCCCAGCTATTTGGGAGGCTGAGGCAGGCGAATTTCCTGAACCTGGGAGGTGTGGAGGTTGCAGTGAGCCAAGATCGTGCCACTGCACTCCAGCCTGGGTGACAGAGTAAGACTCCATCTCAAAAAAAAAAAAAAAAGAGGTTCTCAAAAGTATCTCGATGTATCATGTTTTGTTATTGAACAGGGAAGCTAAATTAAGAGGGAGTTAGTAAATTATTGGTAATTGATTCATTATAAAAGATAAATGGGTAAGTATGGCAGAGCCTTTCCAAATTGCGGATCCACGCGTGCAGTGACCGCCACGAGAAAGACAAGCCCTGGAGACGCTCCTTGAGGTTCCTGGAGGCCAGAGCCCTTGGCATCTCTAAGATGATCTTGTTCTGATTTTGCAGGGTGCCTTCTGGGGCCTGATCTCGGGCCTGCTCCTGGGCTTGGTTAGGCTGGTCCTGGACTTTATTTACGTGCAGCCTCGATGCGACCAGCCAGATGAGCGTCCGGTCCTGGTGAAGAGCATTCACTACCTCTACTTCTCCATGATCCTGTCCACGGCCACCCTCATCACTGTCTCCACTGTGAGCTGGTTCACAGAGCCGCCCTCCAAGGAGATGGTACATTTGGGCTGATGGCTAGATCCATTGAGACTTTTTGTTGGAAGTGAGAGAAAACTGACCCAAACTGGCTTAAGCGAAGGAGACCGATTGTCCAAAAAGCTGATAAGTCCGGGGTTGGGGTTCAGGGGCAGGATGATTCAGGACTCTGAAAAGGTCATCAGAATCCATCTCTCACTTCTGCTTCGATTCTTAGGTCCCATACGGAGCCCAGTAGCTTCTAGGGATATATCATCCTCTTTTATTATCATTAAGTAAATATAAGGCTAGGGTGCAGTAGCTCATGTCTGTTATCCCAGCACTTTGGGAAGCTGAGGTGGAAGGATCCCTTTAGGCCAGGAGCTCAAGACCAGCCTGGGCAACATAGTAAAATTCCGTATATTAAAAAAAAAAATAAATTAGGAGTGAGTGATGGCTCATGCCTATAATCTCAGTTACTAGAGAGGCTGAGGCAGGAGGATTGCTTGAGCCCAGGAGCTTGAAGCTGCAGTGAGCTCTGACCATGCCACTGCACTCCAGCCTGGATGACAGAGCAAGACCCTGTCTTGAAAAGAAAAAGAAAAAAAATTAGCAGGGTGTGATGGCACATTCCTGTAATCCCGGCTACTAGGGAGGCTGAGGCAGGAGGATTGCTTCAGCCCAGGAGTTTGAGGCTGCAATGAGCTATGACTGTGCCACTGTACTCCCACCTGGGTGACAAATCAAGACCCTTAAAAAAAAAAAAGTAATCATAAGCATTTCTATCCCAGAATTTCTAGCGAAGTTCTAGATTCCCATTGATGGAATCAGCTTAGGACACATGCTCATCCATGAACCAATTCAGTCCCTGTGGCCAGAGAAATGGATGAGCCCAAACGATCGATTCTGGGATTCTGCAGTACTCTAGCATGAGGGTTAAGCTCTGAGGATTAGAATGAGGGATAATCACATCCCAGCAGCATGAGGATGGGGTTTATCAGAGAAAGACGTGGGAATGAGTGGGGGAACTGTGCGCCGATGCTGAAGAGCGCAGGGACGTGACGCTTGTTGGAGGATGGGGTGGGAGGGTAGGGCTGGGAGTAGATTCTTCAGACACAAAGCCTGAGTGTGGGGTGGAGTGGGAGTGTGAGAAAAGGATAGAACCCCCTCCCCCACCTCCACCACAAATATCATCATTATCCCTGCTCCTTAGGTCAGCCACCTGACCTGGTTTACTCGTCATGACCCCGTGGTCCAGAAGGAACAAGGGCCGCCAGCAACTCCCTTGTCTCTTAACCTCTCTCACAATGGGATGCCAGAGGCCAGCAGTAGCAGGGTCCAGTTCGAGATGGTTCCAGAAAACATGTCTAAAACCCACAGCTGTAAGTAGCCTCTGTCCTCCGTTACAGTGAGAAGCATTACGTGTTAAAGGGACTTCCTGCCCCCCCCATCAAATCACCAGGAAAGCGGGCACACTTGGAGTTTTAGCATCCTCTGGCTCCAGTGTCTGATCCGTCCCCACACTCCGGCCACGGGAAAGGAGTTTTTAGTAACTTTCAACAGAAGCTTCCTATGGGTACTAAGAGCAAACATTTGCTGAGTGCCTACATGGTTCATTTCATCCTCACGCACCCCACATGGATAGACAGGAACATGACTTGCCTTCTCTGTTAGTGCTGCTAAACTGGCAGCTTGCAGACATATTTTGGTTTAGCCCACCTACAGTTTTAATAAAATGTGAATTAACATTTAAAAATTGAGAGATTTTGGCTGGGCGCGGTGGCTCAAGCCTGTAATCCCAGCACTTTGGGAAGCCAAGGCAGGTGGATCACCTGAGGTCAGGAGTTCAAGACCAGCCTGGCCAACATGGTGAAACCCCATCCCTACTAATAATACAAAAATTCACGGGGTATGGTGATACATGCCTGTAGTGCCAGCTACTTGGGAAGCTGAGGCAGGAGAATTGCTTGAATCTGGGAGG